AAAATGATGAGGTCTTCCATTATCCTTTGAGTGAATGCCATCTATCGTCCCTCTACTATCAAAAATAGTGCAAGTTAAACCTTCTACTATTGATTGGCTTCATATCGTCCCTCTACTATTAATTAACTTCACCTGTCGTCCTTCTACTATCCAAAAAGATACCAATGTCATCCCTCCGTCCACTGTAAACTAACGGTACTGTTTACTGACCGTTAAATGCAAACGGTCACACGGTTAGGCCTTTTTTAATCTTTATTTGCCATCTTATGGGCCCCACCCTTGCCAAGAAAACGGAAGGCAATCACTTCATTATAAAATTACTAAAATACCCCAAATTCATCAATCTTTATTAAAAATACGATTTCCATTTTTTTTAATTAAAAAATAAAACTTTCTTCGATGGAATCTCAAAAGCTAACTGCAGGTGGTTACACACCACGGATTTAATTTCTTCCTGTTTGTTTCCTGAGAAAATTAAAGAATAATAAATGATATTTTCTCTGTTCTTTAGACTTTATCTTTTGAAATTAATTAACGGTGTTTGATTTTTGATTTTTTAGACGAGGATATGCGGCTGCATCACAAGGGAGTTGTCTCGAGCGCGGCGAGAGGTGGAGCAGTAAGAAGCAGCGCGGTGGTGAAGCAAGCAGAGGAGGAGACGGCAGCGTCAACAGAAAAGGTGTCGTGGGTGCCAGATCCAGTCACCGGATGCTACAGACCGGGGAACACTGCCAACGAGATCGATGTTGCCGAATTATGCGCCATCCTTTGGAAGAAACACTGAATAATTTACGCATAAAATTCAAATATAACATGGATAGGATTTCTGTTGTTCTAGTGCTGCCCTATGCATTTCCTAAATTAGATGGAGCTCATGGAAGGATGTCATGGCTTCTGCTTCTCTGTCCTTTTAACCTCTGTATAGGGGACAAGCTAAATGTATGAAGTAAATAAATGGTAGAGCTTGTTCTCTAGTTCCTTGTTATAAGAATTGAGTAATTAATAGATTAATTAGCATGATTTATAATAGTAATTGTCTATTTGCTTCAACCATTTTTCTTTTTTTTCTTTTTTTTTTTTTATGTTTTCTAAATGCTAGCTAGAATCAATGAACCATCTACCTAGAAATTACTTTTCATACTGGTTGAGATTTTTTGTCTTTATGTAAAATATTTTTTAACCCAAACGGTAAAACTATCAACAATGACAATAGTTATAATAATATTCTTTAAAAAAATTATAAGTTTATAATTATAATTTAT